AAATAAATTTTTAGAATTAAAAGAGACTCATTGAAGAAGCCCGATTTTAAAATTCAATGCTTGCTTTTAGGCCGGTAATACAAAAGTTACATAATATTTTTGCGTACATGATAGTCAACAACGCTGGTTTAGGGATTCAAATACACTATATCATTTGAATTAGACAATAGCAGTCGGAGAATAGGAATGAAAACATGAAGCTTTCACAATATTAGACTAATTTAACACCATTGCTCCTAACACTGAATTAATTAAAAACCCAAACATGCCAATTGCCACCCTTTTCACAACGAATACTTTATTCGCACAGTCGGTTAAGCTCATATTCACACATATGCAAATTAGTCTAAAGGTGTAAAAGATTAGCATCTTATTGTGATTCGGCGATTCGTTCCGAACTCTTGATGTTTGTTCGCGATTTGTTGCGGACCGGTGTGTCACTACCTTAATGTTTAACCGACATTCTCGCACTTTTGTTTTTTTCGAACACTGATTTTGAAATTGGAAAGGTAAATTATAAGTATATTTATTTTAAATTGTTTGAAATAATTAATAGGAATATAGGGTTGGTTTTATGCCATACAGCTTTTATTAATTTTTTGTTTAATTTTACTGCTCGTGATTTTAGTTAACTTTTTAATTATTATTTTTTTTGAAAGAAGAAGCTACCTACTTTTCATAATAGGAGTCTCAATGAGCAGCAATACATTCATGACCTAAGTTTAATCTTTAAGAATATGAACATTCGAAATTTCTTTTGAAATTTCGAATGTTCTTCATACGAATACAACTTAAGAACGTGGTTTGCAAAAGTAATCCTGTGAAGGTCGTAATTAGTATAATTATTCAGCAATGTTTATTGGAATTATTTTGGATAATTTCAAATTCAAATGACATAGGCATGGCGTTAACCCTATAAACGTTCATAATGTATGTGCGCTCTTAATACAATTTTAACGCTGTTATTACTAATTTTACACGTCATTCTACAAACATTTAAATCTCAACTCTAACCCACCAATCACAAAGGTCAGATTAGCAAACACGCAATTTGTCACACAGTGTTCAAAATGAATGCACACAAGGACAAAAAGGTGCGCTCTTTGTTTCGATCCAACGATTTTGTTTTCAATTTAAATATTTTATACAATGTGACAATAGAGTGAAAACCGGTACTTGTAACAGTAAAAAATTAAATATTAAAAATTATGGCGGGTTTGCCATTCATCTGGTTACGTATGTTAATTTTCTGTTAGATGATGCTCCGATGTACGGAAGTCGAGTTCCGATTGCGTTGTTTTTTTTTTTGTATTTCGTGTTTTTATTAACGACAGCACCTATGGGTCTATGTTTTATTGCGTCAGATTTATTTCGGAGATAAGATTTAAATTTTTTTTTTTTTTGGACTGATAGTACAAAAAGTTATTTTGTAAAAAAAGTATGGCCACTTAGAGGTTTGATTCGGTTCAAAAGCAGTATTATTGGATAAGTTTAATACAAATATCTAATCAATAATAGTTAAACACATTTGCATATCTTTTTAGAGAATAAATGCAATGAAATATGCTGTTACTAAAATCTACTCTAAATACTACTAATAACTTTTTTTAACCTTTTATTGAGTCAAATAAATAAGTGAAATTCCTTCGTCACTGTTTACCTTACATTCTCAAACATTCTGTTACATAATTGGAAAAGTAACAGCACTAATCAATTTCCTTTAATTACAGCTGGAGGTGCAATTTCTTCTAATGACTCTAATTAAAAGTATAATTATTGAGAAAAAATCTAGAAAAATGAACTATAGCTTTTTCTTTTTAATTATCTTGTAAAGTAAAACATGTGTGGAATGAGAAACAAGTGATATCGAAATTATCATTTCTCTGTACTTAATAATTACATTGTTGAACACTGATCAGATAATTACTGATAAATAGTATTTATACAATACAAATACTTATTATTTAACATTAAAATATTTTGTGTTTGAAGTTCAAAAGTGCCTTATTGGTCTAATTGAAATAAATAATTTTGACTTTGATTTGACTTTAAATAATTAGAAATGAGAATACATGAATTAAAATAAAAGAATTAGAATATTATGTATTATATATTATATACCTACGTTTCTTTTACTTTACGCTAAGATTATGATAATAGTAAAGAGCTTTTTATGATCACTCAAAAATGTGACAGTTTCTTTGTTTAGATGTTTGTCCGTCGATCACGTTGAAACTATTAAATGGTTTTTTGATGAAATTGGGAATACAGGCAGGGTATGGGCTAACTTAGGTGATAGGATACTTTCTATCCCGATAAATGATTCCATGGGATAATACATTTGCATTGTGTGAGTGAGGTTACCGGAGTTCCAATTACCTTCCCCCCCATTTTCTCCAATCTCCCCAATCCCTGAATCCCTAACAATCCTAATACCTAATTTCTAAAACGCCGGTAACGCACTTGTAACGCCTTTTGTATTCCAGGTGTCCATGGGCGGCGCCAATTGCTTACCATTAGGTGATCCGTCTGGTGGTCTACCGGCTTATACTATATAAAAAAAAGTTACTAAAGTGACACTGATAGTATTCAAAATGCATTATTCTTAGGTAACATTTCGTACTTAACTAGATTTCATTAAAACCATTGCAGTTGCATATGCAAAAACCTTTTCATATTACATCCAGTATTTATGTTATTAATGACAATTAAAATAGATCACCTATCATATCAAGCATCAGTAATAAATAATAATGACAACAATAAACTCTAGTCTAAAAAAAAACATAAACAAAAAAAGTCACATTCGAAATATGCAAATTCGAAATCAATAAATAAATGATTCGAACTTTTTAATTTATTCAAACCTTATTTTATTATCTGTGAACTCTATGATATGACAATTGTTTATTTTATTTTTAGTCAATTGTTAAATAATATTCGCCATCGATTCCCTTTTGTTATTTAAATAAATGCAATTAATCTTGTGTCTTGTTGTGTATTATCAGTTTTAGAGACAATGTTTTATGAAGTGCAACTTTTTGTTATTGCGTTCTGTTTAAATATCATTCCTATTATTAAAATAATGTCCATAGTTGTGATCAAAAATGTTAAAAGTCTGAACACTGATCAGTTTTAAGTAAAATAACTTAACATCTTCCAAATTATGTAGATTACCTTCCCGACCTTACATTAGTCTACAAGAGTTTCTTTTCAAGTCCATGGGAACGTAGCACCAACGTACAAAACCATCCGTCACCTCCACACAATACCAAGAATAAATTAGACTACAAAATACAAATATGACAACACAGGGAAAATATTTTATCTCATTACGCATTCAAAAGTAACGCATCGACTTGCAAAAATCAATATATTGTGCACACCAAAACCATCTTTGTCCCACTGTGCGAAAAGTTAAAATACGAAGAAGAAATAATATGCAAAACAGATCCCATGCATTCAGAATTCGATATTCAAATTACTAGTCCATTCTTTAAATAAGGAAGAACAATTTTGACACCCGGAAGAATAAACCCTTCCACTTTATATTCAAATTTGGAACATCTTAAAGGCCAGTCTGAATTTGAATAAAATAGATAAAAAACTTCTTTTTAATGTATTCATAGATTTCGTGGGAACGGATTCCTTAGGTCGAGACATGAGTCCTTTATGTCCTTTATAGTGTAATCGATGGGGTTGCATGTTATGGAAAGCTGTGTAAACATTCGCTGTAATATGGTAATTATTGATCGGTCATAAAGGAAGAGGTGTCATTCTGTATCGATTGATATTAATTTATTGGGTGTTGAAATCGGTGGAGCTGAATATTTGAGATTAGAAGTCTGTGTATGTTTACTTACAGTGATATTTGAGTGTCTACAAAATACTTACATATTTTGAGTTTAAATTGAAACGTTGATGTTACTACAAAAAACTATTCCTCTTGAAAGTAAAGATCAGTAATTTAATATTAGATTTTAGTTTTATGTTTATCTTAATCCCAAAAAGGTTATCTCTTTTACAAAAGAGTTGAGTTTCGTCTCGTGGAGACTTACCCACGCCCACGCACTAAGATTTAAAATATTACGTTAACCGTTAAAAAAATATTAAGCTAATTTACCTACCTCTTAAAACACACATATTCAAAACATGAAATTAAAAATAAAATTCAAATAAAAAAATACACGCCGCATAGAAATTCCAAGTTTGAAAAAGTTCATTGACGAGCGAATGTCTTCAACCCTTCTACGGCGGGCATTCAAATTTAAATTCGTGTCCCCTTCGTCTGGCAGGTGTACCCCGTCTTTGTGACTACTTCCGTCAGTTAAGATGGCCGTTGTCTTGTACTGAGCTTTTGTCGCGATGTTGTTAAACATGTGGTTGATTCACTGATGAGAATTTTTGTTTTTGTACCAATTACGGGGGCCGCTTTTGTGTTGGTGAAAAGGGATTTTGAAATGGGTGCATAGATTTTGAAAGTTCTTTAAAAGGTTAATAAGAAGGATACTATCCAAATCAAGGAAATACAATATGTAATGTTTAGTTAATCTCGAACAAAATTCTGATTAGGTAAAGTTTTTCTTACTACTTACTTACATTACAAACGATTACCTTAGATTTCCGTGGCGTACGTGACCTCATCTCAACTGAAAAAACGCTACAAAATAATGCGATCCCCAAGTCGTATGCAAATTGTTTTTAAAATAATAACACACCTGGGTATCAAAGACCGGTCGTGATTTCGCATCCGAACCTCATTTGCATGCAAAGGGTTAATTCTTCGCGATTATTTGAGCTCACGCATATTTTTAATTATTCAAGGGTTAATGTATTCTATTTTCAAAATGTGCATACGTTTGTGAATGTGATTTTTTTCTCGTACATTCAGTTTGATTTTGAGTTCCGTTGTGTGAAGAAGGTTAACAAAGTTTTTTGAGGTTGGAATCTAGATTTTGGACTGTGATTATAAGTTGTGATGTGAAATAACTAAATAGTTATGTAAAATTATATCATCTGTAGTCTAAGGTCATAGTTGTGAAGAGTGTTTGATATGTAAGTACATTTTTCAATATTATTTATTTAAAAATACTTAGGTACAACTGTACAATACATTAGTAAAATAATAATTGTTATTTTTTGGATTTAACGTTAATGATAGATGATTCAGTTTACATTAATCTTGTCTAATAGCTTTTAAACATTGATGTTTTCTATATGAAATGTACGCAAGGCAGTAACCTAATCAGACGTCGTGAAACAGAACCCTAACGTCTCCTGCACAACTCAAATAAAAACAAACTTCTAACTAGTTCCACACCGAAATCAAAAAACTAATTTACGTAAAATCGAAAATCCCAAAACCGTGATGTACCACCGGTCATGCATCAAGTATAATGATTGGATTCGCCCCGCCTATGTCATCCATCACTCGGTACAACTGACTAGTGGGTGGTAGAACCCCGTGTTACCCACCAATCTACTCTGACCCCTGACTTTATTCCCCTTACCCCCATTATTTCCCATTTTTAATGGGCTTTAGAGGGGGTGGGAAGGTCATGTTAGGCTGGTTGGGCACCGTTAGGGAGGATTTTGCGAAGCATTGTGTCTTGTTAGGATCGTAATGTCTTAGATCGGAGATGGTAGTAAATTATGTTTTCTTTTCTGCTAGTTAGGTTAGGGTGTGTTAGGCAAATATGGGAGGATTGTTATGTGTAGAATATGTAGGTACAAGAACACAAAGAAATATCTTAACAGAAGAAAGATTTCAGTTTAATTTCATCAATATCAATGTCATAATGTGAGCCACTCGACATTTATTGCAAGGCTTTTAATTGGACTGCCTCGTTGGCCGAGCGGTCGCAAGTGCGACTGCCGGGCAAAGTATAACTGGGTATTTTAAAAATCTCAGTAGTAGCACGGAGTCTGGAACTGCTCGGTATATGGTAATAGGCTCATCCCCTATTACATGGGACTCATAACATATATATATAGTGAAAAGTGGGTGTTACATTGTACAGTAATGTGCACCTCTGCCTACCCCTTCAGGGATAAACTTTCAATTAGATGAAAAGAAATATACAAGGTTTAAATTAAATTATTATGTTTTCTACTGTCACAGTAGCAGCGCGACATTCGCCGCGTCGCGGGTCGCGAAATGCTGCTCATGAATATGAGCCTCTAGCATGGCTTGAAACTAGTCGAGTTCCTCGTCAAATTATTACGTGAGTAAGCCGAAAACGTAATAATTTATTTAGTATGTCTCACGAAAGTTACAATACAAGGTTAAAATTAACGTAAACATGTGTACCAACACAATTAGAGATAAGTATTTCAGCGGAAGAAATCGAGAACTAATATGTATAGCACTAGTACGATTCTTACTGCGGGATTTCATATACATTTTTGTTGAATAATCGCTACTAAAATAACAATATTAAAATTTAGATTTACACATAGGTAATTAGTTTTAGGTAGTGAAAGAAATCTTCATTGCAATAAAAAAGGAAACGGCAACAAAATCCATCCATAGACAATCTGCAATTTTTTTTTGACATAGGTACCGTAAAAATGCATAGACCGTTAGGTACAGTTCAGCACACAACAACAATACAAACAAACAACTCGTTCCGAGAAAATTCATAAATAAATCCAATCTATTCGACTATTTCCTTGCGCGCGGCGATATAATAAAAAAAAGAAAAATCGTCCATGCAGGGGGTAATCCCGGTGGGAGGTGGGTAACGCGGGTAACGCCGAAATTGAGACGATGTAAGAAGATTACCGCTGATGCATTACGTGACGAGACGTGGCTTCGAGGTGGATGATTTTTACCGTAAAGATTTTTTTTCGAGTATATTTCGGTTGTTGACGTTTGTAGACCTAACCTATATAATAACATGAATAAGAATAGGAATAAGAACATATTTGCTGTGTAGTTAGGTTTAGAAAAGTCATTAATATTTTCAGTTTTCCTGATACATATGCGGTGATTGACCTTTGTAGTCCTAGGTATACATATATATGTATGTATCCTTAGGTAAATAGTTGAAAAATTAGAGTAAGCAGATATAGCTTTTATAGGTAAAGAATAGGTACAACTTGTTAAACTGTTGGTTTTTGGTATTGTCGATAGAAACTTTAACGTATCGATCGATAATTTAAGTACTCAACTACAGCTTACACGTCTTAAGGACTTTCTACAATAGAATACTTAAGATTTATATAACTTTATATTGCTGTAAATAACCATCACTTTACATAAGTTACTGACTGTAATCAATTTCGTTTTTATTCGTCGCCATCATCACGCAATTCAAACAGTTCTTTCCTCCCCAAAAAAGAAAACTCCCTTAGTCTACCTATTTCATGTAAAAGTCTAAAAATTCATACAACATCACATACATGTATAATCCTGCGACTGTGAATGTGGCCACAAGTTTGCCAACTTTGAACTTATACAATATATCTTCGTTCGCAAGTTTTACAACGAAACTTTGATGTTTTATACGTGTGTGAGACTGTAAGGAGGACCTGTATGCATATAAATATTTCTCTATACATGCAAGATCTGCCTCAGAGAGCCATCAGACCACCACCAATGGGACTGATGCCGATACGGAGTCGCGGAGAATATAACGGGTTACCGGGGCTCCGGCTCGAAGTGCAGGAGTAGGAACGGGGTGGTTTTTAGTCAGTAAGAGTCTGACACTCCTTTCCGCCTCACCGAGGCGGGGAAGTCATTCGATGATTTTCCCCCCTTAAAAAAATACATGCAAGAACGGTTTCCCAAGTAAATTCCTATATAGTGTACCTATACATACATACATCGACATTTATTTTATTTTCTCTTTTTTGGTTTCTCGCCACCCCTCCTAACGCTAAGGCCAAATTTCCATACATATGAGCCTGCAAGGAACTGAACCTTACACTTTATAAGTCGAGCTTCAAAAAAGAAAAGATTTTTACCAACTTTCTTTTGTCCTCTCTTTTACTTGTATGTCGAAACATGGATAAATGGGTAGGTGTCTGGTTTTCTGTAAATGTATTGGTGGTTAGATTACTCTTGCATATTTGTCTATAGCAATATGTGATACGATATCTACTTCGATAAAACTATGGTTTTAGTTTACTTTAAGTACCTAAGTAGTACCTACTTCTACGTTGATTTTTCAACTACAACTTAAAATGTGTACACAGACGATCATATAATGTATTTGTGATATTGTAAAAACATTTTTTTGAAATGACTCACGAAGGAGTGTTTTACTCCTTCTTCTCCATTCGAAACTACACGGAACGAGCGCCTATCTTCACTAACAATTCAATTTGACGTTTCAAAAGTGTCTAATCGAGGTGTAGTTGAAATGAATGCGTTGACTTTGACTTTGAATTACAACTCTTGCTTGAAACTTACAAGCTTGTGAGTATAAGCCAAATAGCTTCCACATAGGTAAGCCTAAAGTAGTTCATAGAGAAAATCTGTTAGAAGAAGTAAATATCGTTTAGAAAACAGAGACTACAATCTAACGTGGTGTTTTTATTTTGAATAATAAAGAGACTTACTTCATGCCAAAGAAAATACAACTAGAAACATCAACATCAAATTCCAAAACAACCACCATAATGTTTAAACTTTTATTCTCATAATTACATTTTGTATCAACAACAAAAATATATATAGAGCTGTTAGCTAAAAATATTAGAGGAAAATTGTTATAATATCGTGAAGGAGGAGCACCAATATATCATGTGACGTCACGCGGTATGCGGCTGACACGAAAATATTGCGATGCATCAAAACTGCCAAGGAGCAGGGAGAAAAAACGAACTTTGCTGAGCATTCGGTGCAAGTTTTGAGAGATCAGCGATGGTTTAAACTTTGTTTTAAATATTGAACTCATAATTCTCTTAACAATACGTTAAAAGAGATGCATTATGTATTATTTTAGAGTGATTATGATTAATTGTTACACAACAATGTTTAAAAAATTGTGTGTCTGACTAGAACGAGCTAGTGAGTGATTTTGAGTGAGTCTGATTAACATTAGACAACTGTAAATACATAATATTTAGCAATAAGCAACTGAATAGTATAGGTTTCTTTTCTATTCTAAAGTTATTAGTGTTCCTATATAGTCTCACTCTCATTCAGATCGGTCCTCATTCTGTTCGTGCATTCCAATGGAAAATTAACTTTGGAATAAAAAAAAACTTTTGATGCTAAAAGAATCTCACATTTCAAATATTTAGAATTCAATATTTTTAAAGGGCAAGAAAAATAGAGCTGTTAAATCGCTATCTCTTGCAAATGACACCAAACAATAATACGTTCAGAAAAGCGGGGGGGGATTGTGTCTTGAAAAATGCTTCGTGGAGCTCTGTGGCGATGGGTTGTATATCATAAGACACATTTCGCGATATATCTTCGCCTTACCTAAGTGAATATTATGAAAATCTTACGTATATATCGTTTATATGCTGGTTTCTTGCAGGGATGTATATTTTGCAGCTTTGGGATGAATAAAGTCATATTTTATTTGGTTAGTTATCTTATTGTGTGGAGTTTTATGTATCAGAAACGACCTAGACTATAATTATATCAGTCGAAAAGTTACTTAATATGTTGTAGGTTTAAAGTTAACTATATCATTAGTATTCTTAGATCAGGTTGACATATTTCGTTTTTTTATAAAGCTCTAATGTTTAATAGCATTATACCTGAAAATAATTGTTTGAAATTAGTATACCTACACTAGCACACTGCAAGAAAAAATACGATTTGTTTAATGCTTTTAACAAATAATATGTCGGAGTTAAGGCTGGAGTATAAGTGCGCGTCACATCATGTGTATAAGCTGCCTAATTCTTTGTGTACTCATGTGTCAAAATTTTCAAACACCGCGTCACATAAGGCGCCCAGAACTCGAGCCAAAATTACGAACCGACGCAAACCATCACACGTGAACATTGAACATACATTTACACCTGTCTGCGTTTTAAATCGTAAGGGAAGTGAAACTCTAACATCTATTGAAAACCCGAAACAGGGGGAG